TATTACATTAATACAAGCTATATAGACACCTCAAAAATAACAAAATATATAAATCATCACAATCACTTCTTTTTCTTGAATCCAGTGAACTCCATACTTTTTAGAGGGTTTGATTTCTTCTCCTGAAAAGCAGAGATTTATCTTAGTTACATATATTTTTTAGGTTCCCTTACCTCATTTAAAGTGCAGTTCACATGAATACCTTTCTATACAAAGTGTGACAATGTATAATGAAAAAGTAAATATCAACATAAGCTAGTTTCAAAGCTGACTGACCCAAAGAAAAGAACAAGGATGACTTTATCTTAGCTTTATAAAGGGATGTCCAACTCACCTGGAATCTTCTGTGTGTATTTGACATCTTTTTCAATTTTGCCTTTGGAATGTTCTTGTTGAACTTCAACCTTTTGCCACCTTTGGACACAGTTCGCAGTGGGTCAGGGATGTTGTACTCCGGTACATTCTTCAGATGAGTCTATAAATGAAAAGGGAAATATATAGATATACCTAGGACCACACAAGATCAAGCCAGTGCATGAGTGAGTGTGTCGATGCGAGTCCTCTGCCCTAAACACACATATCTACCTTCTCATTAAAAGTAAAGTTATGCATAAATATTTATAAGCAATAAGATATCCTACATTAAGCGGAAATCATAACCTTAATGTTACATTTATTTTTTGCCTTTCACAATGAAAGAAAAGCACAGATGTCCAAATTGAAGAGTTCTATGTCAGTGAGTTTAATTACAATCTGTCCATCAAGGAGGTTAAACAGCCATACCATTGGCTTCAGGCTGTGCTTGGGCACATCATGGCGCAGGACTTCTAGATCCCTTGGGTTATCTTCAAAGAATGTCTTTAGTTTGGAGGTGTTCAGTAGCTCTTGCCTAATCTCCTTCTTCCTGGTCTCCTTTACGGCGATTGAGGTGCAGCGTTTCCAGGCGTCAATTGATCTATACCTGTGGAGAAATTATGCACTAATAAGATTAAATTCAGTCGTATCAATCCCCTATTAATTTTCTACTTTACAAAGTTTATCATAAGAAATTAAGCTTCAGCTTTTTAAACTGACAAAACTTATATACATAGACTTTTCAGGTTTTGGCCTTTCAGGTTCAGAGGCAACATATGGATCCTCCACTCCAAAGGCCCACATTCGAGCCAAGCTCAGGGCATGATAAATTTTTGACTACTGCCACATATTACCATCCCAGAGGGAAAAAAACAAACTCCATCTGAGAGCTAATGGCACAAGAATGGTCATGATACGATGCCATCCGTTTTTCTGTCCACAACAGCCATGGCATGTGCATACATGCCACCCGGTGACAAGGGGTTAAATGCAAAGCCAAACAATATGCCTAAATTTCTAAAGATATGAACTTTTACTTTATAACTCTCCTACCCATGCACCTAATATTTCTCTCAATCCCATTTCAATCTAACATCCAGACATGCCATTTACCTAAAGCCATCCAGCTGTGTGATGTCGAACTTGAAATCCTTGAAGACAGGGCCAGTGTCGGGCATGAGAGCCTTGAGCTTGGTCTCTACCTCCCTGAACCGGTCTTCATCAGCCTTGGCCACAAGAGACAAGGCTGTGCCCTGATTGGTACCTCGGGCTGTCCTGCCCACGCGGTGGATGTAGCTGTCTACATTCAGGGGAAAGTCAAAGTTTATGATGTTGGACACAAACTGGAAGTCGATACCCCTTGACACTCCTGATTCCTTGTCTTTGTTGCGCTGCCTGTTGATGACAGGGAGAATAATTAGTATAGGGATTAGCAACATAAAAAGCTTTGCAAAATCTGAACACTTGCAAAAACTGCAATCTTGTCAATAATGACAAATGTTAAAAATGAAGAATTCTAATTTTCAGTAATGAGTTTTTTCTGGGAAATCTCCCATTGTTAATGAAATCAATAACTCTTTGATAAAAAAAATCTTAGTACGAACCTGCCTTTTACTGGTTCCAGCCTGGCTCGTCCCTGCCGCTGTTTCTTCTAAATTCTGCTCATCTGAGGCGATGATGATGTCGTACTTGCCACTATTAAACTGCTCTATGATGTGACAACGGGAAGCCACAGGCATTTCCGAGTTCAATACACATGAGCTGATGTCAAAATGGGCCAGGTACATTCTCAGCCTAGAAAATTACCAAATATATGGATAAGGACATCAGGAAAAGATGAATGTAATTGAATACTTCAAGTAAAAAATATTAAAACAAAAATAATGAGAAAATCATTGATACACTTTATATTATATGTGTTAAAAAATAATAGTAAATCAAATAATTAAATAAACATAAATAAAATGGCTGAAGTGTGTACAAATATTGTGCAACATCTTGTCTTTATAATATCAAATCCCAACCAAAGATCAAAACTGTAATCTATCTGTAATTATCAGAGAAATACAAATCACTACATACCTGTATCCCTTGTCAACACTATTGACAAAAATGATGGTCTTGCCACGGATCATATTCAGACGGAAGAGTGCATTGACAAGAACAACTTTATCAAATGCAGACAGCTGTGAATGGAACAGAGCTTGGCTTATTACAATGCACCCTGTTGTTAGAGAGAGCACTATAATATCAAATTTTCCATACCAATGTTCACAACTCTGACTTAAGAAACCCATCATGCTTCAGCCCTCTTTCTTACCCACCTTCTTTCCTCAATTCCTTTCCTTCTACAAAATGGTTATAGTCAAGGAAATATCCTTCATCCAGGCCTATTGCCACATCTAATTTTGCAAAACCTCTACCCCAGAACTTTCCTTTCTTTTACTGCATATGTCTTGAGCATCAATGCATGAGAAGCAACACTCTAAACATGGCAATCAACAGCATCTCTCCATATTACCAATTCAATGCTCCCCTCAACGCATTAGGGAACTCCCCCCTCCCCCTACCACCTTACCCACCTTAATGACATATTGTGTAAGTTGTTCTGCTGTTGGCAAGGGCGGCTCTTCCAGCCTCAGAATGACAGGGTTGTGCAGGATGAGACTCTTCAGCTTCTTCACATCATCAAACATGGTTGCACTTGTGACGAATGACTGGAAGATCTTTGGGAATTTCCTTTGCAAAAGGAGACCCCCCAAAAATATATAAAAATACATACATAACAAACACATATATACATCTATGCATACACTCATACATGCACACATACACACAAACATGCCCATATATATATATGTAAACATACTCAATATATATTAATTTATTAATATATATTTTTTCATTTATCCATACATACACATTTAAATTCAGATCTATATCAATATTCATACTTGCATTTATATTTCTTACTTCAGTATTTCCTGAATTTCTTTCACATGGTCAAATGCAAACATGAGATCAGCCTCATCAATCACCAGCATCTTAAGAGAAGTCTTGACCATAAGGTTGCCCTCATTCAGGTGGGCGAGGATTCTCATTGGAGTTCCAATTACGATGTCAGGTTTATCTGTGGAGAAATATCAGGGGAGCTTATAACTGCTGTCTCATGTTCTGTTTATTTCTATCCGAGTTCAGAATACACTCAACTAACTAATAACATATATATTGCTGTTTGGCCGGCATGTACAAGCTTTGCCTAGAGAAAAATAATAACATAAAATCAATATTCACCACATGAAATAAGTGTCAAATGTGGCATACTAATTCACAAGTCTCCATTCAGGTTAAATAACTTAACTCCTCACATTATCAAGAGAAGCACCCCACCAATCCCCATTAATCCCTTGGATCCAGATGCTTCACTGCCCACTAGTGGCCCAAAATATGAGCAATAGGCTTACTTGAGTGGCCACTCTAACAGGTATGCAGCTTGTAGGCTGGACTCATATGACCACTTGTGTGCCGTGACAAGACTCCTCCATGCCCCACCTTTGCCATGATAGTTTCTCTTTTATTGCATAAGAGTTATTAGCTTTTTTGCCATTTTCCGCTATCTTCACTTCATTTCCATTATCCAGACAGTTATAGACTGTTTTCCTTGCACACACTGCATACTCTCTTTAGGTAGTCCATAACTCAGGACAGTAATGAAAACAATAAGTAACAATTTCTTATCTGTGTCCTTTTATATCTTTTTTAATAATACTAAATTTTCTATAATACAACCTGTGCCACCGGTGGGATAGAATAGGATCCTGAGCATGGAAATGGTGTCCTCCTTTGAGCTGGCCCTTCCCGAAAGCCATGGCCCATGGATGGTACATCCCATACTTGTTTATCAATGGAAATAATACAAGAGCTCCTTCCTAAATGCCTACTGAGCCTGATCATGATCACCCTCCTCCCATGACACCATGTTCATGTCACCTAACCCACAAGCATATTTTTTTCATAATGTGATGGCCACATCTTCTGAATTGTGGAAGATAGAATTGGAGGGCATGCATGTCCAAAGACCAATTGGCCTAAAAGTGTAAATCAAATGGTAAGCTAGTTTAATCTTTCAGCTCTGATATTAGCATCAACATTTTAACCCATTAACGCCGGTATATTTTGAAGCCGAAAATAAAAGATGCCGCACGGCTACAAAATCGGTGGATGGGCCTGCCCTGGACTCCGCTGGCTAGCCAGCTGCGGCCCACTGCTGCGTGAGAGCGCGAGCCCCAACTAGCATCACATTGGCGGGACACCCGGCAATGTTTATTTTTTCTGGTGTCTCATATGTGAGACACCCATCGTTAGTGGGTTAATGCACTAAAAGTGCCTGATTGTAGCACATTGACATTTACATAAAAATATTGATGCATATGTTGGGGCTGAAAGCTTAATTCACATTTTATAAATGTATCTCTGGGCTATTGGTCTGACAAAACCTTTGGATACGCATGCCCTCAAAAAACTAAAGACAAATAGAATAGCCAACATAAAGCTGGCAGAACTCACCAACAAGAAGGGGACGTTGAGCCTCAAGTGGGACTGTGGGAGACACATCTATGAAGCGAACCTCTCGTTTGCACAGAGTG